TGCCCCGGTCGCGGCATTTAACGCCTTTGTAAAGGCCTTTTCCACCGAAACATCTAGATTATTACAGCAAATACCGGTCCCAACCGACTAGGTGTAGAAAGTTCGAGTGTGAGGTTTTCTAGTAAGCTTAGTTTCTCTGTTTGATAAGAGATGGCGCTAGTGCCACCAACTGTGCGCCAACCACACCAACGCAACAATATCTTGGATATGATTTTTGTGTTTTGGCCTCATTCTGATCACTAAAATCAGATAATTTGTATCTACAATAGAGGAACGCGCATGTCCTGAACGTTTTACTTCGTTCCACAAAGCTGAATCTTGTCACCAGTCCTATTCTGAGACGATAGAGGACAACTTTAGATGTTTCCAAAATTGGCTCTGTTATGAGTTTATCACTCGCCGCTAAAAGGCAGCGTGTCATTACAATGATCAGACTACCGGTCATATAATTTTCACCACTGATTGTTTTTTCAGTGGCTTGATGGAATGGTTGTAAAAATTTTATTAAGTTTGAAAGAAGATTCCCTTCATCCTTTATTGAGTATAGCAGATCTTTTTTAAGCATGGCCAGTGTGGATCTAATGTACTGTACTGCTCCATTTCAACGAAGCGCTGAACCATAAGAAACGTTGAGTTCCAACGCGTGGGGACTTCTTGTATAAGGCGTTTTAGGATGCAACCAGCTGTATCGTCCGTTTGTGCCTTTAAAAGTTTTTCCAAAGCCAAAGTATAAGTTCCAAAGTGTAGGCTATATAGGACTCGTTCGATCTTGAGGTCCATAAATCTGTCGTAAGACATATAGAATAGTTGCACTCTGGGCCTAATACCATTTACATTTCCGATTTGGTTTTATTGTACAATGCAGACAACATGACGGTGGAAATTGTTTTTCTACTTGGTAGTTGGTAGCCGGGAATCCACCGAGCAAATTTTTAAACGCCCTTTCCTCCACCAATGAAAATGGCTGGTAACTAGCAATAAATAGATTAATAGATAGCGATCAATTTTCTTTTTAGTCTCATTGGATATTTTTTTTGCCATGCCATATCTTTCTATTGTTTGCTGCATCGTAGTCTTCGGGATATGACTTGCGGTAGTAGACGTAGCAGTGACAGATGACGCACCAGCAGCAGTGACGTACCAGCGGCAGATAACGTACCATCGAGAAAATCGTTTAAATTCATATTTGTCAACACCGAAGACGAACATAATTGTCTTTGTTGCTGACATATTTTGGCTTCTTTTTGGGCTGTACTTACTTTCGTAAAAGCATCTAAGTGTTCTTTTTAAATGCGCCTTAAGGTTGCCTGTTGAGCCCTTGTAACTATAAATATCGCAACAAATCCGACATTTGGTATTTTTTATCGAATATGTCATACTTCTCAAAATAGTCCCATATTATGCTTGTAGCGGACGAGACATTGTTATACATATTAGATTTAATTAGTTCTACACAATGTCAAACACTAAACTTGAATTAACTTGTTTAAAAAATGTACAATATCTACCTAATATCTACGCATCTATATAATATTTTATGTTACACTACTTTTAATACACAAACACAGTTCAAACTTAAATAAACTATCATGAAACGAAAAATATATCAAATTAAAATAAAATTGTCGAAACCGAATTACGAGCGAAAGTGAGCAGAGAAATTACATAAAATATTAGAGATGGGCCGAATATTCGTTTTATATACGGTATTCGGAATATTCGGCAGGTTTACCGAATATTCGTATTCGGCCGAATATTCGGCTAAATCACCGAACATTCGAACCGAACATTTTCATAGTGTCCAATGTATTGAAATGTACGAATTAAGTAATGCGATGTACTTTACTGTTGAAAGTATATTTTATTTGTGGGTTAAATCTACTTACTCTAAGAGTGCCTCAAATGCATAAATCTATACATTTATGTTTTTGAGGCACTGTGGATTTATTTCCGATTATGGCAAATAGAAACTTGATAAAAAGTTTTTGGAATCAAACAAAGAAACATTAAGTTACATTAATACATTTCACTTTACTTTGGTCGTCAGTTTTTCTAAAATAAGTCCAAATAGTAAATCTCCTGCCGCTCATTTTTATCATATAATTATCAATTTTCACTAAGAATAAAATTCTTACGGCTCTTTAGCTTATTCACTAAGAATAAAGAGCCAGGGTAGCTCAGATGGTTAGCGCTCGCTGTAAATTTCACAGTGCACGACCAAACCGAGTTCGATCCCCGCTGGCAACAATGAAATTATTAATTGCAATTTTAAGTGCTGATTTACAAAAATTTTGAAAACATCGTGAGGAAACCTGCATGCTGAGGTATAAGAAAAAAAATATTTCGAAGACATGTAAAGTTCGCCAACAAGCATATTGGGGCAGTGCGGTGGACAATTCCTTGCCCTATAACCCTCTCCGAAATGAGCGGAGGCCTGTGACCAGGAGTGGGACGTATAAAGGCTATAACTTTAACTTTAATTAAGAATAAAACAACGAAATACTTTTTTATCACAAGAATAGTCAAAACATAAGCATGTGCCGGCAATTTGCTCAGTACTAGATAATGCAATAACGTGTCAGGTGTGGCGGGAAGCGAGAGGCAGGGTCCGGCGCTAATCCCGTGTGCTTTACGGTAACAAGTTTCGACATAAATTGGTTAAGTTGGTTAAATCTTGCATTATTCGGCAGGTTATCCTGCCGAATAATGTTCGGCTGAATATTCGGTTCGGTAAAAATTTAACCGAATATTCGGCCGAATATTCGTATTCGGTGAAATCCATATTCAGCCCATCCCTATAAAATATATCATCTGCATTCAAATTACGCGACGCAATTCACGATGCATGTGAATGAAACTGAAAATAAAATTTAAAAATAGAACACAATAGCTTTTTTTGTTAAAACCCAAAGCACAAGAGCAAGTAGGTACTTCAATGTTTCAATGTCGGTTCTTAAATTTTCAGGTCTGGTTACAAATATTTAAAATTAATTGGATTAAAATTAACATGCTATTTAATACACAATAAGATCTAAAGTCGTTTATTTTGAAAACAGTGCAACATAACAAAATATTCATAAAATACGACTTAGACTGGATATTAAAAATAATGTGTTCTGTAATAAATCGTATATTACTACTAATAAGGATTAATATTAATAATATTAGGCGTAAGCGTACCACCTTTTAGTTGTGAAGTGGTCGTAATATCGGTTTTACTTTTATATTCTATCGCGCTCACGGTTTGTTCGGTATTCGAATCAATGTATATATTTAGATATTCTACGTTTTCGTTTCGAGTAGATATTAGATATTCTGTGATTCCGACACCGCTGGTTGTATTGCCGCGGCAGCGATATCGTAATATCTAATATATAGTTGGTTTGTCGCCCGATATATAGATATTGAATATTGTACTGATATATAGATATTGTATCTATATACGATTTGTATCGCCTATATACACTCTTATCTATGGCACCTACACTAATCTCTAATCAAGTAAATACCAGTAAATACATTAACGTCAATTCTATTTATGTATCATATACCCTAACCATTAATACATGGCCAAATCCATAAAAGTAGTTTAGTTTATAATAGGCTTCTCTGTCTACGTTTCAATTAGTGTAGGATTCCGAAAATTTTGAAAGTATCGATACCTACTCGATACCAAATATCGCATCAAAAGTATCAATACTACTTGGTATAGAGTACATTTCGTTAATTTTGGAGACTTTAACTTTCCAATATGGACCATCGATATATGAGGTTTTAGGGGTGGAAGGGGGGTGGTGGCTAGCCCCCTGTGCCATCCCCACCCTGCGAAACCACATGGTTATGGAGATATTCATGGTTAAAATTTTTATTATATTATTTATTATTATTCTCGTTTCCGTATGTCTGATGAAATGGAGAGGGGGGGGATATGGGGTAAAATGAATTAGATTAAATGAAGAATAGGGTGGGGCTTATGGGAGTAAGGGGGGGGGGGGTTAGTAGCGGGGAAGTGGTGTGGTGGGTTCGAAGCGGGGAAGTGAGGTGGGGGGGAGAAGCGTGGAAGTCGTGCTCCGGCACGCTGTGGAGCGGATGAGCAGTCCCTCCGCCCTAACGTAAGAAAGCGCGGCACCTGAGCTCGCCTTCGCAGCTTCGGCTTTTTGTTCCAGCCTCAGCCGCTACGGCGATCTCGGTGCCTGCGCTTTCCTACGGTGGGTGGGCACTGCTCTCCCTCCGCGCCTCCAAGCTCTTATATACACTCTAGGGGTAGGGCAGACAAGACCACGTGGATAGTGGAGTGCTCTGATTCGGTTTTGGGTACTTTTTGGATATTAAATAAGTAAGTAAACACTTTAGTGTAGTAAGAATTATACAGAATAATACAGAAAGTTGCAAACAATGAAATACAAGTACAAAAGCTGTACTAATCAGGAAATACAAACAAGTTGCAAACAATGAAATGCAAGTACTAAGGTAGAACTAAAATAGAGTAAACTTTATTCTATTTTATATAAATATTTAATTGTACTTATCAGCTCTTCATATGCATCTAAATGGTTTCTCATAATTTTTTGTCTCCAAAATTAACAAAATGTATACGATACCATGAATAGTATTGATACTTTCAATGCGATACTTGGTATCGAGTAGGTATTGATACTTTCAAAATTTTCGGAACCCTACACTAATTGAAACGTGAAGTTGACCATAGATTACTGCCTAAGATGATTGACGTTTGACATCAATTATTTGTCAATTCGTAATTGCTATTTATTTGCCAATTTGTATGAAAAGTAAAAAAAAAAATGTCATGAACTGTAAGTTTCCGCAACCTAAAACTTTGCAAAACGCTTTCTTTTAGAGAGTACTATCTACAAAAAAATATGGGCATTGAAATGGATGGATGGATGAAATTTTAGCCCAACTTTTTACATGCGTATATTATATGTATGTATATTTTCGCAAGATAATAAATATTTTTGTGTATTTTGTTATTTTTTCAGGTTTTCCATGGCAGGCATTTGACAGCATTTGGCATCCGTAGCAAAAGAAGATTTTATTTAACGATACAGCATAGGAACATTGACTTACATAGGAAAGATAGCAACATGTTTCCAAAGCAGAGGTTTGTCAGTAACACCTCTGGGTTTGGTAAGTATTATTATTTTTGTTTCATTAGATTTTGTCTTGGGCAACACATAAACCCCTGGAATGTCCGGGACTGGTCTGTTACGTTCAACTCCTTCAACCAGCACTGGGTTCTTTGGCCAACAGAATACACTACACTATGCACTAAGCTTTGAAACTTGGTAGTGATCTTAAAATGTTTGACTATATAAATAATTACAGGTGCCTTTGAACAACAACGAGCACCAACTGGAACGGGCCACATCAAGTGTGAACCCGTTGTTGGCACAGATGTTGTGGTCAAGTCTGGTTCATCGAAAATTATCAATGTAAAGAAGCATTGCATCACTTGCATGACGGTCGGTAAAACTCTCACTTACCTTGTTATGCAATGAGTTTTGTAGTAGTACAGTGAAAAACGAGCAAAAAGATACTTACATCTAACCCTGATTAAGTAGTGTGGTATATGTGATAGAAACATGCTGTGGCTGTGTTGTGGTTGCCACACTAATGGCTCAGCTGGGGGTAGGACCATGCTCTCACAGAATCATCATCATCATCCTTACAGCCCTTCACAAGTCCACTGCAACATAGGCCTCCCCTAAGGTATGCCACAAAGCACAGTCCTGCGCCACCTGCATCCATCGACTTCCTGCATGTCTTACCAGGTCGTCACTCCATCTAGTGGGCGGTCGCCCTACACTACACCTACCGGTACGAGGCTGCCACTCAAGAAATTTTTTTCCCCATCGGTTATCGGTTCTTCAAGCTATATGGCCGGCCCATTGCCACTTCAGCTTACTAATCCATTGGGCTATGTCGGTCACTCTGGTTCTACTGCGGATATCCTTATTTCTAAGTTTATCACGCAGAGAAACTCCGAGCATAGCCCTCTCCATAGCTCGTTGAGTGACTTTGAGCGTCCTCATAAGGCCAGCAGTGAAGGACCACGTCTCGGTTCCGTAGGTCATCACTGGCAACACGCACTGGTTGTACAACTTAGTTTTCAGGTTTTGAGGTAAACCTGACGAGAAGATGCGTCGTAATTTCCCGAACGCTGCCCAGCTGAGTTCAATCCGTCGATTGACCTCTCGGTCGAAGTTGGACTTAACTATTCGGACTGTTTGTCCCAGGTAAACGTATTCGTCAACAACTTCGAGCTTAGTGCTCCAAACAACTACCGGCATAGGTGTGACATGGACATTAAACATGATCTTTGTTTTGTCCATGTTCATCTTAAGACCTATCCGTTGGGAGGCGCTATTGAGCATAGTGCTTAAGTCCTACAGTGATTCTGCCATAAGGACTATATCGTCGGTTAATTGAAGGTGAGTGATGTACTCGCCATTGATGTTAATACCGTACCCTTTCCAGTCCAGTAGCTTGAAAACGTCTTCCAATGCAGCAGTGAAGAGTTTCGGGGAAATAATGTCACCCTGTCTTACACCTCTCTGCAGTTTCGTACAGATAGGTTTCGTACTATGGTTCTGTTCTCGGATAGCCATTGTAGTCCTACTGTACAAACACTTCAGCACTTCGATATACCGACAGTCAACTTGGCACCGCTGAAGAGACTGTAGCACCGCCCAAATTTCGACGGAATCAAAGGCTTTCTCATAGTCCATATACGCCAGGCAAAGTAGTAGATTGTACTCTTCAGACTTCTCTCACAGAATACCGGCGTGAAATAGCAACTCATTGCTGTTGTGTTTCATATGGTGAGTGTAGAGAAGCAAAGACGCTTTTTACTGGAAACAAGGTATTCCATGTCAGTCCACAAGGGTAACAACACATCTGCTTTTCATTCTTAATTGAGGATAAATGTATATTTCTCTGAGCCACAGCATCCACCTACCATCAGGTGGATTGTGAGCCCATTTGTCACCTTAATTCTATAAAAAGAAACCTTAGATGCATTGTCACCTCTGAGGAAGAAAGTAGAATACCTTGTTACCAGTACTGCTTGCACAGAGTACCAGCATAATGCTGCTGTGTTTCGTATGGTAAATGAGGAGGACTGGGAATCCTTTTTAGGGTAGGCAGAGATTACGGACTTCCATTTGGCACAATCCTGACATACCTCTTTCGCCTCCTTCACATCCATATATCTACGCATACATGCTCCTCGGTTAGAGGTACTCCTAATGTGGCCTAATTTCAAAATATCGCCAATTTGGTTGATGAACCTTCTTCTTGGGTGTCCCTTCCCGACTCTGCCGTTCACCTCTGCAATATAAAGGGGATTGCCCACTCTTCATAGACACTTCGGCCATGGGTGCCCAAATATAAAAGCAAATAGGTATGATAATATGCAATTAAAACAATGAAATGGTTAAGGAATTGCTTTAAAAAAAGTCAGGGTTTTGAAGATATATAAGTTTTTATTTTGCAGTTTTTTTACACAACTATTTTTATCTATTTTATCGCGTTTTATTTCTTTGATTTTTAATTCCAGACGTTTCGGGTGCTTTCCAGCACCCATGGTTACGGCGGACTGAGGTGACTGACGTCCCAATGTCAGTGTTAACCCAGAGTACCTTCAGATTTTTAATTTTTATTTATGGTCCGATCTACAGAATGAACTTACTGTGTCTTGAAGTCTTGCAGTGGTATGCTAGGGTTTAATTTTAATTTCATTAATTACAGGGTCCTCAGCAGGTGGTAGTACCAAGCCTCCTTCTCTATTGAAAAAAGAATTTTTTTATTTTAATAGTCTCACATATCGGTCCTTGATAGGAATTGATGTTCCTTGTAGAGGATTTGTGGTTTATCAAATCTTTTTTTTATGTCTATCTGGTTGGGGCCGTCCATGATATGATCACAAACAGCAAACTTCTCTGAGCCTTGATGCTTCATGTCAGCTCGCTTCAGGATGTAGCCAATCTTGTCTGTGACTCCCCTGACAAATGCTAGTACTGCAAATGCTTTACTGTGGCCGGCTTCACTCGGTCACTGTGACGTAAGCGCGGGCCCGGAGCTTGTTGACGTGCAGAACTTGCTTGACGTGCTGAAGCTCGACGGCCAGATGTTTGCTGCCACAGATCCCTTGTGCTCTCTGTAACAAAGATTTGCTTACGGTAACTAATTGTGAAGGATGATGGCGAGATTCATTGTTTTCTATACACAGTGTGACCTATGGTGTTGTCAGAATTTTGGATGACTAACACATCTAGGACAGCTAAGGAATTATTTGCCTCTAATTTACACATCAATACATCATTCAGGAACTGAGCAGGAAGCAAAATATTAGTCTGATGCCGTGCTCAACCCAAATACCATATTACTGTCATAACATGGGCACATCATCCAACAGTTCGACGGTCGACAGTACTTTTTAATTGCACTTCTCCCAGAACCATTGCCACTAATTAAAATATATATAAAATACACTTTACGACTAATGGTAATGACTTGCAATTCTAGCCCTAAGTAAAGATCAGCTAGGGCTTAAGTTTATTCCTTCCATAATGCTGCTCCTCTGGTTATCACAGAGTTCTATCCGGTAGCAACCATTAAATCTTATATGCTCACCATAATAGTAGCGAGCTTGCTTTTTTTTTTTTTTTTTTTTTTATAGGATAGGGTGACAAACGAGCACACAGTCCACCTGATGGTAAGTGGTTGCTGCGGCCCATAGACATCTACATCTATCCTCGATTACGAATCAAAATGCAGATGCGTTGTCACCCGTGAGGACTGAGATGGAATACCTCATTTCCAGTAAAAAGGGTCTCCGGTTCTCTACACTCACCATACGAAATACAGCAGCATTAAGCTACTATTTCACGCTGGTATTCTGTGAGAGCGTGGTCCTTCCCCGGTCGAGCCGACCCATTCGTGCTACAACTATACTACTAATATAATTGCAGCATGGCTCTACCACGTAAAAAATTGCTTTAATTGGTATGTGACACAAGCAATCAATATTAAGTCGCTGTAAGTTAAAACAGGAAATTCCCTAACATTTTAAAGTCTACATTTATATTTCTAAAGTCTGCCTGTCCTAGCTCTATATAGATTGCTTTCCCTAGCATACTCAGACAAATCATTATTTGTCTCCATATTTTGGTGAACTATTCCAAGTATTTGAGCCGCATCATCCCTGTCCCTTATTTTTGTGTGGAAAAGAAGCAGTCTGTCATCAAATGTGTAGAAGCCCTGTTAAAGTAATTGTTGAATGTGTGCTCGTGTGTGAGATTGTTAAACTTTATTGCTGGCGGGATATTAATTCGGAGAGCAATGCAGTTGCAGTTGGTTTAGTGAATAAATAACACTTCTTGAAATATCTTCTTGTTTATTTTTCTGAGTACTTCTTCTTACATTGCCGGATTTGGGAATGTTTTACCACAAAAAACGCCCCTTTTTTATAGGTACCTGTGACCAATCATAATTAATTAAATTTGCACACGGCACTAATGATTCCCGTCGACCAATCAGAGCACAGAACGACCTTTTCTAAGGGAAATTTAGAAATTTCTTTAAAATATGTGGTAAAACAGACCTTACAATATTTTTACATATTCCTGACAATAGATATAACTTTACTTTACTATTTTAAACATAAATCATTCACATAAGTTTAAATTTAAGCTTGTAAAAAATAAAAATAGGTTCGCGGTCTCCTCACGGTTTAACTCCGGAGTTAGGATAGTATTTTTTCGCTGAACATACAAGTACTAGGATCTCCTAGGTGTGCGTTATTTCGTAGTTAGCAGTGGCTGCAAATAACCGCCGGTTCGACAAACTCCGCCGATCGTTGAGTCCCGTGATTCCGTGAGGCGTCGAGGTCACCGGCCCCTAGGTGATTCTTGGCACCTTATGCGCTTCGTGCATCCTGTGCCTAGTCGCGTATTAAAGTGCCACCGTCGCACTTCCCCCAACCCTTTGTTGACAAAGGGGTAGGCAGTGCCCCAAGTGACTACGCCAACTTAGTTGAAACCTCCATCCGCGTCGCGCATTACAGCCGATCGGCTGGATATAGACAGGGCCGTTAGTTAGACTACTGACTCTTAGGTAGGTTCACCATGTCCGATAAGGACAATTATAAGGGGGAGCCACCACCGAGAACCAGAAAACCACCGGACCGAACAAGCATTCTGGATCGACCGATAGCATACCGGGACATCTTCTATTCGGAAAGGACTCGAGTAGTGTCTTCCTACTCGCAGATCCCGACCAGGAAACCCCTATCTCCAGGAAAAGGACCCGCACCGAGGACCGCGCTCTCGCCCATCGTACCTGAAGGTACGACTGGGCTAGAACCGGTCCCCCAACAACAGCGGGCTAAGAAGTCGTGGAGAAGGCACACTCCGCCTAAGACTGCAGCATCATTACAGGAGAAGAGACAATGCCTCGGATC